CATATGTACATGTAAATAATTTTGACTTAAATTAAATATTTCCCATACAATATATGCTTCACTTCCACTTGAATTAACATTGCATTTTTGTGCAACCACCCCTAATTTTTAAAACATTGTTCAGCTTTTAGTGACCAAGAAAATTCTACCCTCCTTGAAAGAACAATTAAAAAGCTTACAATATATGGTGAAATCATATTGAATAATACTCAATTTTGGGAATGACGTTTGCTCAACTTTATATACCTTCGCTCTTATTACAAAAATTATATTTTATAAATATAATATAAAATTTATAATAATTTGATGATCGTAACCCAATTTTTATACTATTAAAGCCCTATCTGGGAGTTACAATTTGTATTTACAAAAAGAAAACAATGAATCTTATGGTAGCTATATGATATAGTCGTTCGATCCGTTCCGACATATATACTACCTGCAACAGAAATAAGACTTTTGGGAAAGTTTTATCTAGACAGCTTTAAAACTGAACTACTAGTTTGCGTAAGAACTGGCAGATAAACGGATAAAGAATATATAAACTATATAGGGTCGAAAATGTCTTTAGTGCGTTGCAAACTTTTGATTAGAATTATATTACCTTCCGCAAGAGTATACAAATATATTACGAATACTATCCTATATTGCCAAATGGCAAGAGTGAAACCACTTACCCCTGCTGGAGGTTGTGCTGCCCACGTGTCCGAAGAGATTCGCGTTGGGATCCCAGAAGATGCGGTCGAAACAGAGCACCACCTTGTTGAGATTCCCGAATCCAAGTCGGCGGATGGCCTGCTGCTTCCACTCCGGCAACGGCGGATCGAACTTGACCGTGTTGCTCTGCTGCGACTCCTCGTGGGACACGGCCACTTTGAGGACGCCCAGAGTGAGCGTGCAGACAGCCAGGTCCGCTTTGTACGTCATCTGCGAGTTGGAGGTCTTCAAGTTTTCGGCCACCACCTCCACGCCATTGGTGCCGTACTTGATCTCCTTGACGGCGCTGTTGACGCGAATGTCCAGGTTTTCGGTGAGGGCTACAGGCACACACGAGTAACCATTTCGCACCGTGGTGTGGTGGCCAATGAACTCAAAGTCATCGTCCTGGTCCCAGTGCTTAAGCGACAGGTTGTTCAGTCGGGTGGCATTGGCGAACTCCAGATTGGCAAAGTGCCAGTCCAAGATGAGGCGGTCGCGGGAGGAGAGGTACACATCGCTGAAAATGTCGAGTTGATTAGAACTGAACTTAAATCGAACGTCAAATAGCTTGGCCAACCTGGGTCGATTTTGCTCCACTTCGTGGAGCTTGGCTTCCATCTGCTTATCCTCGGCATGCAGTTCGCTGAACAGCTTAACCGTTTCCTCCAGCTTGATCTGGGTGTTCCGTATGTTGAACTCCTGCCGCCCGTAGTGCGCATCGCTTTCCACGCCCTTGGGTATTCGCTTCTTGACCATCGCGAGGTGTTCACTCCTTAGCGTGGCAATTTTCTGCTTGACGGTCTTTAGCCGGCGCCGATGCTCGATGATTTTCGTTTGGGCGGCTATGATCTCCTGCATGTGCTGCGCCCGCTTGTGCTTGACCTGCATCTCCTGCATGCTAATGATCCACTCGAGCGCATCGCCCAGCGAAACCGGGCAATTGCCGGCATAGTTAAAGTCCAGGCGGTGGGACAAATAGCTGGCCGATTCCAGGAGTCGGTTGAACTCGCGCTCGATTACGTCGTCCTTCTCCTTGGGCACGGGTTTGCCATCTGGGCCGTAGAGTGGGCACGTCTGCTGGATGGGCACCAGGTCCATGCCGATCTGCTTGCTCAGGATGGTCATGGGATTGCCATAGACGCCGGTCACCACCATGGCGCCCAGGTCAGCGATGTAGCTGTTCTTGCGGAACGTGGCTATGCGACCGCCCACGCGATCCCGCGCCTCCAGGACGATAACGTCCATGCCGAACTGCTGCAGCTGCTGGGCCACAGCCAGGCCGGAGATCCCTGCCCCGATCACAATCACTTTGCCCAGCTTCTTGCTGGGTATGGGTCGCTGTCGCTTGAAGATGCCAAAGTTGATGAAGCCGTGTCGCTCCAGGAACGAGTGCACCCGCCTCACCAGACCGGGTTCGCTGTCAAACGGCGGCGGCAGGCTCTTCAGGGCATTCTCGTAGCTCAGCTGCAGCTTGGGATTGTCCACCCACATGTGCAGCAGGCTGTTCCGGATGTTGAGGAACACGCGGTGGCCCAGAATCCCCGAGCGACTGATGTCCGGGAAGCAGGCCTCCTCGTTGGGCGTCATCTTGTTGAAGGGCAGGCGGGACTGAAAGACGGCGCCCTCCTGACCGGACAAGACAGTGGGCGTGCCCACATCCCGTTCCTTGGCATCGCCGTTCTGCGAGGGACGCGGATTGCCGGCACTGGGTCCGGAAACGGAGGTGGCATTCGCCTCCAATTTGCGGGCTTGGGTATGGTTTTGACTGCGTCGCTCCGCCGCCTGGTTATTGGACCCCGAGGATCCCGATCCCGCCTTGTCATTGGAGGCGGATGCCTCTCCACTTCCACTGGGTCGATTGCTGTAGTCCACCTTGGGCCGATTGCGCCGGCTGGTCCGTCGCTCATCGCTGGTGGCAGGAGTGGCATCGTTGGAGTCCTCATCCGGCTGCTTTGGCTTCTGGCCAGGATTGGCAGCCGGCGTAGGCGGCGGCGGCGGGGGAGGAGCATTCCGCTTGGGCGATGGCTCGCCATCGGAATCATCGCTGATCAGGGTCACGTACTCAATGGGCTCGGTCATTTTGGAGCCACTGCCTCCGGATTGGGTGGGCTTCATCACCGGAAAGCGGAACTCCTCCCACTGGGACACCGAATGGAGTAAGCTGCTGCAAAATGAAAAAACAAAAAAAAAAAAACACTGAAAATCGTCTCGAAACTTTTATTCTCTTGCAAACTTACGGTTTACGGATTTATCCAATGGCGAAAAACACAAAAACGCTGTTGCATTTCTTTTTTTTCACTTTTTTTGCGAAGTTTCAGTGGTTTTATTATCACACGTTTTGCCGATCGGGCTGCGGGTTAAGTTTTCCTGGTCACAACTCCCTGCTTGCCTGATTTCAATGAACTGAACTGTTCTCGGTTGCTGCCTCAACTGCTCCATGCGTTGCTTTTCATTTTACTCTAGCTTTCAGATCGATTTTCCGACATTCAAATGTGCAAATTGTAAAATTGTTTATATGGTTTTGGCGGTGTGGCAGCCGTGCACTGCCGCCAACATACCTTTACCGGTGCGGAAAATTCAACCATCTGCGTTTGGTCACACTGCAGAATTACGCGCTCTTTTCCTTTAAAATTTTCAATACATTTTTGTGATCCTGAGCGGGGTTTAAAATATTAGAAATTTAAAATAAAGCTTCTTTTTACAATTTACTGCAAAAATGAAAGCGAAGTTCTTGTACGGAAAGCGGTAACTTTGCTCGACGTACGGTCACACCAACGCATAAAAACCGCAACTGCTACATTAGTCTGAACCGGTTCATTGACTGAATCGGTAAAGTTTTATTTTGAATGTAACGGACTTTACTAAGGAGCCCAATTTTTACAATTAATTAATTGTTTAAATTAATAAACGCGAACCTTCCTTTTTGTTGAAGTCAGTTAAAAATATAATAATATATATTTTGCAAAGGGAAAATGAAATCCTTGATATTTAAACAAAATGTATATATTTTTTAAGACAAAATATACTTAAAACCAAAGGAAGAAAATAAAATAAAAGTTTTAACAAGTGTTTGTTGTTTTTAAACCACATAAGTTTTATTTTCCGACTTTCGTTATGTTAATATTTATCTTATCTTTATTGGGTACGACTCGAAACTTTTTTAGGATGGCGATAGGTACTTGGTAAAAACATAAAAAGGTTATTCTTGTATAAAATTATAAACGAACTGTAGAGCTAGACAAAATACCTTTCGGTGAATGATTCTGCTGATGCTTTTGAAATAGCTTAAGGGGATCAACGTATACTTACTTTTGGTGGATATATATATCCATATTAAGAAATATCTATTTACTAATCAACAGCATCGCAGTTTGAATGAGAGCAGCTCAACATCGTTTAATGCTACTCAGGACAAAAAAAGATATAAATTTACTCATGTATACTTTCTAAACTTAGAAACAACTTGGTTATTGTCGTTTGATAACTTCACGCTCAGATTAAAGAAAACAGTAAAGCTATTTATAACTGTAATTTTTTATATTTCCGTTTTTGACACTGTGACAGTGGTAATTAGAAGATAACAACATGTCATGATGAATGCAAAAAGTCATTTTAAGTTCAAAAATAATCAGCTCCGATACGACCTTTTTAGCTCTCCGTGTACTCCGTGAAATAGTAAGCATTTATAAATTTAATAATTTTAAACTAGCACTATACCGCCATTCTAGGTTTTAGTATCGTGGAAATTTCGTTTGAATATCTTTTCTCTTGTTAAACACTCTTTAAATGTTTTTGTTTTACAGATTCTTTCCTGCATCAATATTGGTATCGATATTGGCATTCATTTACCCATATTTGTATGATTTATGCCTAGGTGTCTTCGCAAAAAAAAAACAAATTAAATTGTATATACTCAAATAAAATGTTGTATATTGCTTTATACAAATAACGACATAAGTGATGTAGAAAATACGTACACATTGTGTACAATCAACAAACTTTTTATTTTAAATAAGTATCTTGTGATATATATTTGAAATAGCCCATATAAGAAAAGATTTTTAAGTTTTATTAATTCAAGAAAACTTAAAATTTTTAATTTCTAAATGAAGAATGATTAAACATTACTTGATAACGAAAAGTCGAGTATATAGTTATTATTCCTTTCGAACTGTGCCCAATTAAAGTAAGTAAGCCATTCATCTTAGAGTTAATAATATTTGTATATACCTGCAAGTGAATTCTTCTAAATCATATATAAAGCAATCCCCGAAATAAAACAACCATTTCATTTTTGCAAATTATAATTATAGAGAAACCCTTGGATGCCCCACTCAGTCGCGGTCGTCGCAGCACTTGTCGTAGATGATCGTGGAGCTGCATGCCTCGATCCTCTCGTCGAAGAAGTGGTCGAAGTGGCAGGTCTCCTCCTCCACCTCCTTGCCGTCCACGCACCGGATGAAGTTGTGGCAGTTGTTGCTGCTGCTGGTCACCAGCATGGTGCCGCGCCCATCGCACCTATTGTGAGTGCAGACCACCGAGGTGGCCTTGCCGCAGACCTGCAGGTCTTCGTCAAAAAAGTAGCCCTCGGGGCACTGCATCCACATTGGATCCAGGTCGGCGACAGGGTAGAGGGCCTGGCAAACGAAGTAGCCACGGCAGGTGGCTCCGTCCGATTTGAAGGTCAACACCTTCGAGCTGGAGCAGATTCCATTCTTCGAATGGGCGTTGCACTCCACCTTGTTCGGTTCCACGCAGCTGCCGGTCTCCACGTCGAAATACAATCGCTTCTTGGAGGTGAAGCACTTCTGGGAACTGTGCTTGCCGTTCTTGTCACACTCGTAGTAGTAGCCGCAGTCGTCCTCGTTCCGGAACTTGGTTTTCTCCGCCACCAGTTCGCAGATGTTGTTCACGTCCACGCAATGCGAGTCCACGCCGTGCAGGCAGGACTGGGAGCTCTCCTCGAAGTGCTGGCCCACTGAGCACATCCCCGCCAGCGGCACTCCCTCCATGCAGTAGAAGTACTTGTGGCACTCGGTCGGATCCGACACCCACACGCCATCCAATCCCTCGCAGCGATTGCCGCAGTACTGGTTGCTGTTGGCCAGCGTGGCCACGCACTTGGCCTTGTTCGGATCGAAGGACTGGCCGGAGGGGCAGGAGACGAGGGTGCCCTCGCCATCGAAGCACTGGATGTACTGGTCGCAGGTGCCCGGCTTGCGGATCTGAGTGCCGTTCTTGAACAGTCGGCACAGCTCCTCGTAGTCGCCGGCACTAGCTGAGAAAGCCGGCTGACAAGTCACCAGCAGAAGACATCCGAAGAGCACTCCACGAAAACTTGGTGCTGTAAATATAAAAAATCTGTTATAGCAAATTACATTCAAATAATTCACAAAAAAATAACAAATAAATGAATAAACTGTAAATATAAAAAATTTTATATAAATATAAATAAATATAGAATAAATATTTTTTAAAAATTTCAATAAACTACAGAAAAGGACAAATTAATGTTAGTTTCGTAAATGTTTATAAATTGTGTTTATTGTTTCAAGGAAATTTTTGTTAAATAAATGGATTTGCTAACCAAAAAAACCCTATTTAAATAAATTATAAATACTTTTTAAAAAACTGAGGACTTAGAACTAAATTAATTTGCATTGAAAAAAATATATAATTCTCCAGAATCAATCAATAGCTCATACCACAAGTTATAATTATTTTTGAAATCCATTTTTAACAACTAAATTTGATATAATGCAAAAATCTTGTAACAAACTTTCCAGCCACAAAAAAATATTTAAATACTTTTCATTGGATTTTAACGGCTAAAGTTCATTTTAATAATCTTTATAACCTACATATAATCTATCACAGCTTGCAATAACATTATTATTGTTTGGAATTTTAAAGATTACTGATTCCGACATATACTTTATATGGGCTTTAAGGCTCTTAAACTTTTATTAAACATTATTTTTAAATTATTTAAAATTCTGCCAAATTTGGGATGGAAAATTTTAGCGGTGTATGCTGACTGCTTGATTGAACTCACTCAGCATGGCTGATTGTTGGGGAATTTGGTTTAATTTGTAGAAGAACAGATCGAGTAGCTTGACGTGGCCTCGAGAACTAATTGCTCCAGACTAAATGGAGTTTCGTGAATGGGAAATGTTTATATTACCTAGCGAATATGGCTACTGCTACTGCTATTGCCTCTACTGATACCGCACTTTATTGCCCCTATTATAAGCAAATCTTATCGATGTTGTGCGAAAGTACGTAAACCCCTTGAAGTACGTGGTAATTTGCGATTTAAATCAATACATTAGTCTGCATTCTGCTTAAAGACTCAATTCCCGTGTGAACTAATGAATTTTGGCATATATCACACTAATTAAAATCAAAAATGAAAGTGAAACTGGCTAATAATTTCCTCAAGCAATCAAAAATAACATTTTATTGGCCGTTAATTAACTGTGCCATAAATATTTGAATCGTATCGGCAGTCACAAGCCATTGTGTATATTGCCACCGTTAATATGACAAAATGATAAAGGCAATGCTTTACCTTCTGGCTTTCGCTTTCATTTGTTTTTGGGAAAATCAGAACTTTTTTAAACATTGATTGCGTCCCACGAATAAGACACCGATTATCATTTATGGTCTCGTCAATGAGGGTGTGATTAAAATCGACTCCAACCACCTGCACGTAAAGTTTCCATGATGTTGTGATTTCTAATTCTTCTTTTTCATGGAATTTTTGAACTTAAATTTTATTAATCGTCAGTTGTGTTTGAAAGTTACAAATTATTTACTTATTTGTCGTTATTTTATGTTAATTTACATTTGTAAAAAGAATTTCTACTTGGCTCAAAAAATTCATTTTTAATACTAACTATGTATCACTATTTTTTCGAACATTTGAAGATATTGACGGTGGAATCGTTTAAACTTATTCCGAAGAAATGGAGAATAATTTTCTTTTGTTTTATTTGAAAAATCACATTTATCATTTTATTAGAACAACAAAATATTTATGTTTGAGTGAAAAGAGTGCAGCGTTTTAAATTTGAAAATAGACCTATATCAGTATTTATTTATAAAAAACATCGATTGCTGAGCTTTATTTTATTCATTATACTGCTCCCAAAAATGAAAATATCCTACAATTTTAAGAAGTATGACCTGACAACTCAAAGCTCGTTTTTCAGGTATCTTAAATTTTTTATGCCACTGTCATTTTGCCAGTAACTTAGGTCGTTTTCTTATTTGAGACTGTATAGCTTTTTATTATGGCAAAGTAGCTCCTAAAAAAGTTTTAGAACAACCTTTCCCAGTGTCAAGATCTACATATTCCCCAAAGATACTCTCCCATTTTACCATATCACATCGATTGCTGAGCTTTATTCAAAGTACATGCTCCTAGCACGCGGTGTATGTCTTTACGTTTGGCACGCAGCCTCCCAGGTCCTCGTCGAAGAAGTAGTTGCCGCAGGACTTCTCCTGCAGGGTGACTCCACCCGAGCAGACCAGATAGTTCCGGCAGCCCGGGGTGCTGCTGAGCACGAAAGTGGGGCTGCGACCATCGCAACGATCGGCGGTGCACTTGACCGAATTGGGGTAGTTGCACTTCTGGTTGGATTGGTCGAAGAATCGGTCCTGGGGACACTGGTTCCAGGCGGGATTCGGGTCCGGAGTGCCGTCCTTCTGCTTGGCACAGAAGAAGTAGCCGCGGCAAGTGGCTCCATCGGACACGAACTTGTTCTCCGTGGGCTTGCTGGCCTTGCCACAGACATTGGTGGGCAGCGGATGGGCATCGCAGTCCACCAGGGCCTTGGCCACACAGGTGCCCGTGCTGGCCTGGTAGTACGAGGCACTCGCGCAGGTCTTGTCCTTCAGGACACCCTTCTCACACACGTGGTACTGGTTGCATCCGGCCAGGTTATCGAAGTTCACACTATTCTTCACGATGCTGCAGTACTCGAAGCTGCTGGTGGTGCAATTCGACTCGTACAGGCGGGTGCACGTCTGGGTGGTGGCATTGAAGTGGGTCTCCGGCGGACAGCTGCCGTACAAGGGCGTCTCCTGATCGGCGCAGTAGTAGTAACCGTAGCAGGACTTCGGGTCGGCCAGGAAGTGGGTGGCCACACCCTTGCAGGATATCGAACAGCTGGAGGTGGAAGACGACAGGCTCTTCACACACTTTCCGGTGTCCTTGTCGAAGAACGGCGTGGATCCCGAACAGGTGCTGTAGTGGCTCACATGGTCGATGCAGGTGATCGATTGGCTGCACGAATCGGGATCCCGGATCACCGTATTGTTGGAGAACAGGCGGCAGATGTCCTCATCCCTGGCCTCCACCAAATCGCCATTATGGAGCAGCAGCAGCAATGCCAGGCACACGAAAGCTCCAAATTCTATAATTTAAGATCGAATCTAAGTTAGTTAAATCCAAAGGGAATTCGGCAAACTACCCACTTTCCATCGTAGCTCAACTTTCAACGAACTTATAGCTCTTACTGAGTTCGCCCCTCCATATACGATTACTTTTATGGCCGCCAATATCGGAGGATCAGCGCCTATCCGCAGCTTTTATTTTCGGTGGTGAGATAAGCGGATTGCTTTTTTACGGGGTACTTAAGAAGGTATGATAGGTGAAAACAAGAATTTGTGATTTTTAAAACTATTTACTAAAGAAAATCAATAATTTATTTTGCTATATTATTGTAAAGCTATAAGTAACTGCTTTAGGATTACCAAAATCCTTTTCATTAAAAATTAACATTTTCTTTAATGTGGCTAATATGAAGACTATTTATTTTCCCTTTACTGTTCAAGTTTAAAAACCACTCAAATACTTAAAACTATTGTGCTAGTAAATATATGATAGTTTAAAACCCTTTGATGAACACTAAATAACTATAGTTAATAGTAAATATAGTTTAAAACCTCTTGATGTCCCCCTGATCTTTTAGACCACTTAAACTTTATTATGTTTTTTTATGACCTGAGCAGTAGGTGAATTGTAGTCGATAATAACGCTTAGGCCACACAATATTCGGAGATTGGCAATTGTTCGCTGATAAATCACATAGGAAACGGATAAGATTAGTTGCAGCCAAGAAGCAAACAAACAAATAGAGAGGCAAGATCAGCTGGGTTAATTCATAAATTAATAGTGCTTTACTAAATTAATTTAACAACAAAGATTACTTAATTTAATTAATTACGATTTTAAGTGCTTAGAAAAATTAGTTTACACCAAAGAAAGTAGTTTTTTTTTGCTCATTGTATTATACTGGTGTTTTTGAAGCTTTGAAAAATTTTATTAAGTCCAGTGGTGTTAACAAATTCAATAGCATGTTTTTGGGCAGATTTTCGTGGTACAAAAAGTTTGCTTTTAGGCGAAACGTTATAATTTCATTGAAAAAACTCACACAAGTGGAAAAATGGGTTACAGGTAAGTATTTTTAAAAGGGTTGTTACTGTATCTCCTAAAACTTTATCTTTATTTGCAGAAAATCACCACTTATTTAATTATAGAAAAGATTTGAAGGCCTCTAGCAGTATAAGGACTTTTGCTCTTAATTTTATAAATAAATAACTTTAAGAAAAATTTATCCTAAATTGCATAATCCGATGCTTAATATAACATACCAGATTTCAAGAAATAATATTTTTAAATAATAAATAGAAATAATATTTTTAAACCCGTAACAAACTTCCAAAAGAGAAATCTTTTTGCCAAATTGTTCAATTAGGTAGGCATAAAATTGCTTTGAAGTACTAAAGTTATATTTAGCTAGTGATTAAATTAAAAATTTCTATTGAAAACTGATAAGTTCAAGTAAAAACGAGAGAGAGACAAGTCAAGGTTCGCAGTGAGATTCAAATTATGATATCTGCCTAATGTCGTGTTGTTGAAATGAATGCCGAGATACCGGGGGAACGCCACTGAGCGATCAATAAGAGCCATGACATACCGCCGCCTTAGTTTGAAATTAAAAAACAATTATAGACAAAGAGGGTTCGCAATCAGCAGCTGATAATCCGAATACCGCCCGGGCTGTCATGTCAGATAAAAATATGGAGTTATACTTGTATTATAGGTATATATAAATACACGGACAGGTCCGCTGACCAGGTTTCGATGGAGCCTTATAAGCCAGTCCATTTTGGCCGGGTCCGCTAGTTTCACATTCGACGTCCAACGCTGTCGAGCTGAGGGAGCTTAACCAAAACTTAAGGATGGAAGGTGCGTGGTTTACCCCAGTCCCCAGAACCTTATCTAGTTTTAATTGCGATACTAACGCCTTCTTGTCGACGACGGGCTTATCTGGCTGACAATTTTTTAATTAACCGCTCTGCCGTGAGTGCCGCGAATGGGCCAACTATAAAAACCCAGAGGCTGCGATTGATTGGCTTAGTAACGAAATCGGAACGTTCGCTTCGCTAGTCTAACGAGCGAATTAGTCCCCAATAAATTACCATTCCAAAATGGGAGGTACGTTGTCTCCAAGGACGGATAAATCAGTGTGCCTAAAATCGAACCCTTTTGAGCTGTTTCAATTAGCAAAAGAACTTGGATGCCTAACTAATACTACTTTAAAATTTGGCAATTAAAAGTTTTTTTTTTTTGAACTGGCTATAATATTGAAATTTAGTTTCTAACAGAAAAAATTAAAACTACATAGCACTTAATTCGATTAACTTGTTTTGAACAAATTGAAAAACTGGAAAATACCTTGAATAAGTGGCAGATTTGTCTCGATATTTTTTAACATTACGGATTTATTTTTCATAGTTGTTTATCAAAACAGTAAACCATTTTATATTAGCAATTGATTTTTCATAGTTGGTTTTCAAAACAGAAAAAATTTGTGTGAAACTTACTTGCGGACTTATAAGATGTTAAAAGATAAAAGGACGACTAATTCTACAAACTAGCTTATGTGTGATTAAAACACTTGAAATTGGAAATTCAGCATTATTTTGAGCTGCGACCAATTTGCAAATTTGATTTACTTATACAACAACATTTCGCCGCTCTCCCTTTTTCAGCTTACAACTTGAGGATCTGCGCCCTGGTCGCCTGCCTTCTGCTGGCATCGCAGACCAGCGGCTACACGATGGAGCAGATGTGCGCCCAATGGTCGGGCACCGGGTACGTGGGCAACCCGAGCAACTGCCGCGCCTGGGGCTATTGCCAGGGCCAGAAGCTGGTCGGATGGGGTACCTGCACCAACGACTACATCTTCAACTCGCAGAAGGGCGCCTGCGGCTACGCCTCGAGTACGGTGTGTGCCACCAGTGCGGTGCAGACCTGTGCGTCCGCCACCTCGCCCATGTACGTGGCCGACCCGATGAACTGCACCCAGTACGGCTACTGCGACGGCAAGGGAAACGTGCAGTACGGCAATTGCGGCGTCGGTGGCGTCTATTCCGCCAGCAGCGGCAAGTGCGTGTGGGGACCCAGCTGCCCCCAGGACAACATCTGCCAGTTCATGTTGTCGGGCATCTACGTGGGCGATCCGAACAACTGCGGCGCCTACGTGGCATGCAACAATGGGGTGGCCACCTCGGGTACCTGCGGCACTGGCTTGACCTACAACCTGGCCAACGGATTCTGCCAGGAGACCAACAACTGCAACGGTGACAGCAGCAACAGTGGATCCTCCGGAGAGTTTACTGTTGGTCAGCAGGATGAAACGATTTGCAATGAACTCTGGAACGATGCAGTTGATGTCAAAGTGAAAAACGAAGTTCAAACCTATAGATACGTTTCGGATCAGACTACTTGCTATGGCTATTACTTCTGCGCAGATAAAGATGCTGTTGGCTATTGGAACCAATGCCCCACCGGCACTCAGTTTAATATCAAAGCCGGCCAGTGCGTTTCGCCAGCCTCCTTTATCTGTCCCTATAATCGTTGTGCCAACGTCAACTCCGAGTTCATGGCTGTCATGAATACCGGATGCAAGAGCTATACAATCTGTTCCAATTCCGCGATCCAAAATTGCCCCACCGACATGTACTACGACGAGGTGAACAATATCTGCACCGGCACGCAGCCCGATTACCCCATTTGCAAAGGCAGGTACCCATCCACTGACTAAAAAGCATTTTTTCAGACATGTCCAATGCCGAGATACCTAATGCAACATGTTTGAAAAGCACATTAATTATAGTTCTGTTCTTAAGTCCACTCTGCAAGGGCTGAGATGAAAGCATTTAAAATAAAAGCCAATAAAAAACGTCGAATTTGACCAAACGAAACTCGTTTAAATAGGTTGATTTATTGCATAGATTGTTTCCAGATTTCAAAAAACCTATATAATGGGTAAAATACAAGAAAGAACACACAAATGTAATATTTATTGGAAAACATTTGTAATCGATTCTGAAAATTTTGAGTAGAACGCTTTAAAGCAATTCTGTGTGAGACTTCCACAATCAGGACAATTATGTATTCGGTTAACCAGCTTATTGCAAGTTTCTACTATTTTTACTTTATGATTAACCAATTTTCAATAGAACCCTTTTATGAGATTATAATAATATAAGTTAGTGCTATAATATATTATAAGTTAGTGCAAATGTTTTGAAAGTTTTCAAAACGTTCTGACCTCGAGTGAATAAACTTGGATGTATGCATTCATATACAGGTCAATAAAAACCAAAACGTTAAAATATTTATTTTTTAATATATAAATTTAGTGATTCCAAGAAAAATACCTTTGGAACGCTTTATAGATAAAGGTTAATACAATACATTTTGATAATTAACTGCAGAAGACCAAGGAAACTAAGCCACATTGCTTTGCAAGTTTCTAGAAAAGTAAGCATGATTGACGTCAGCATTAAGATATTGTTTGGATTTTAGCACTTGAAAATTAGATAATTTAAATAGGACGGAATTCTTGGTAAATTTGTGTGAAGTGTACTTATCGGTACTTGTTTGCCTTAAAGAAATAAAATCAAATAATGACTCACAAAAGGCTTAAGGTAATTAAGTTGATATTGCCTACATATGAGCAGTACTAGTTTTTTGGATCTAGGTAAGGTACAAGGTATTTTGTGAATATAAATACTTACGTAAGGTAAAATGTATAAGGTAAAAGTTCAAAAAGGTTAAAAAAAACATTTTGTTGTAAAAACATGTACAAAGAAACATCTTATATCTTGCATATGCGATGGAATAAACTTATCAACTTGCAGTTAAATGATGCTATTTATTAGTGGTACCAAGCCAAATTGAATACAAAAATAAATATAACAAGAGAACTCCCGTTAACAGTTCTTTCGTTCTGTATCTCTACAGTAGCAATTACAGAGCAGCGGCCGAGCAGCGGCAGAGCAGCGGCAGAGGCGTGTCAGAGCGGCGGCAGAGGACTTCAAAACCCCGTAACATTTAAGATTATTAGCCCGATTTTTATAATTGTTGTGTCCACCGATAGATAGGACAGAGTCCTACACCTAGGAAATAACATGTCTCAGAGTGACAGTTCAAACTTTCACGATATGTGTTAGAGTGAGCGTCACTCCGTTTTGAAAGAAAGTTGCGCTGCGGTGAAACTACTAGAATCTGCAAGTCAAGTTCCTAATCTCTAGCAGTTCAAATTACCCTTTTACTCTGCGAGTAACAGGTATAAATATTTCATTACCTAAATACGTAACAATGAAAATCCTTAATATAAATACAAATCTTTACTTTGGTAACGCAAAAAATAGCCTCATCTTTTTGTTTACCAAAAAATTACGTACCTAGGTACAAGTATCTAGGTACACCGCAACACTTCATACTGAGCACAAAAACAACATTTTTTAAGCCAGGTAAAGTTTTCTAGAATTTTCAAATTGCGCGGCAACTTTTTAAAATGTGACTGTCTTTGAGAATATGAATTTTATTTGCGTGGAAGTTCACGAACATTTTTAAAGATTTGATAAACAAAGGAAAACATGATACAAAAATTATAATCAACACTTTTACCAGAGATTCTCGGATGTTCGAGAACTGTCAATGACATTGATGTGGATACGGATCCGATCGTGACACATGCAATTTCCCTATCGATGGGGGGGCCGTTGATCGGCGCGATATCAGCAGGAGACTCAGAATGTTTTTCTTTGAACGAGACATTGCCGATGTTATTGCCGTGTAATTTACATGCAGACCCGCTATCGTACATCAGAAAATCAGAAAAGACGAAACGCCAGCGCTATCTGCCACTTCTGATTGAGATAGCATGTGCATTTTGGAAATTGTTTTTCGCCGAACAAAACCGAGCAGAATGGCCTTTGCATATTTAAGGGCGCCAGCATCGGAAGCTGCAGTATCAGTTGTGTTGTGATTGCCGCCACCAAACGATCGCAACGTTCCAGTAACCAGGATAAAAGTGAACCCAAGGATAAAGGATATACACCATGATTGGAGGTAATTGAAAAAGTAGCAAAGGGCGGCAAATCACACTATGAAACTATCTGTCAAGGCTATCAATAGCTTTGTGTTCGGAGTTTGTCGAAACTAGTTGTTATTTTGATAAGGCACTTGGCAACTGCGAACCATTAGCCATACAACATAGTCATCCTATCTCGGCAGAACCCTATTTTTGAGATCTGTTATGAACGACAATGTGTATAACTCAAAGACTCTATTTAATTGAAATGTTTATGTGAAAGATAAAGTATCTTATGCTTGGCAAAAACTAATTTGAACATACAATATTTATTAATTAAAAAAAAACACATTATAATATTTTATTTTTATAGCATTTTGGTGAGAAAGTTATATTACTAAATGAATAAGAGAGTACTTTTAGGCAGTATATATTTTTTGGGAGTACAAATTTATTAATGATCTTATATTCCCACTCCTTGCAGCCAGCGGTATCCTGTCGCTGCTGTTTGTGGCCAGCTGTTTGGGCGACGTAATCGAGGACTTTGAGTACTTGTCGGTGAGTGAGATGTGTGAACTGCTGCCGCCGGAGACGAGCTTCCTGCGTCCCAACACCTGCGACAGCTGGGTGAGCTGCGCCGGCAACTACACCAACCTGGAGCAGGGCGGCTGTGCGGCCGGACTGTACTACAACAAGGAGCTGGGCCGCTGCGTCCTGGCCTCCAGTGTTGTTTGTCCCTATGCCGGCGGTATGGTGCAGCAACCGAAGAACCTGTGCGCCAACGAGACCGAAGGAGCCTTCATTGTGGACCCCAGCAGCAGCAATTGCCGCGGCTACATCCTGTGCAAGGGCCAGAGGCAGATCAAGGCCAATTGCCCCAACGAGCTGATCTTCCACCCCAGGTCGAGATCCTGCGTCTACGAGACCCAATACGCGTGTCCCATCAGCCAGACGAACAAGCCGAGTCCGGCCTGCCGTTCGCTGAGCAACCATACCCGCCTGGCCGACCCCGTCCATTGCGACCAGTACTACGAGTGCGTGGGTGAGGTGCTGCACAGCCGATCCTGTCCCCTGCAGGAGGCCTACGATGCGGACCTGGGCGCCTGCGTGCCCCAGGACCGGGTGAACTGCTACGAGACGGCTGCCCTGCCGGAACCGGAGAACACCTTCTGCGTGGACAATGTCACCGGGAAGGCCCGCACGGGCTACTTTGCCGACGACCTGTCCTGCTCGAAGTACTACATCTGCGGCGAGCCGGTGGCCGGCAAACACGACACGGAACCCAAGCACCTCAGCTGTCCGCTGGGCCAGTACTTTGACTTCGTGAAGCTCTCCTGCCGCGACCGGCTCAACGTACGCTGCCAGCTGGACAGGTGCGTGGGCGCCAACCTGACCTATGTGAATGTGGCCGGCGACTGCCAGAGCTATGGACGCTGCTCCGGCGGACTCACTGTCAGTCTGGGCCACTGCCCCGATGGCTACTTCTTCGACGAGCGCAACCAGGGGTGCACCCAAACCAACTACCACTACATCGCCTGCTCCGCATAGGTTGGCCCAGAAACTCTTTCCCATATCCCTTTCAATTTCAACTTAAACGTATAATAAATCGATCCAATTCAAGGTGGAGGTCAAGTGCATTTTACGAAAGGAATTTCCTTACTTCTTGGCGGGGAAATGTCATTTTAGATATTAATATTGGTCTATCATTATCTGTAATATACCTTCATTCTGTTCAAACATACATTCAAAATTGTATAAAAAAAAAACAAATCTTTAGTCCCCATTTTTAAAAAGTTTATTAAAAAAATAAAACTTTATTTGTCGGTTATAAATTGCCTTCTCTTATACACCCAGAGAAAATCTTTAAATGTAAAATTATTTTTCATAATATAAACGTATATAAAATAAAGTATTTGCTTATTTAATTATAGATATCAAATTTTTTCATTTTAAATCTTATTTTGTTCATAATTAATAATAAAATAGTAAAATATTTGCATTTGCCATGTTTTTTCTCTGGTTATAATCTCTGCATGTTGATATTCGACATAAACTTGAAGGAGATATACTATTATATATCAAGTGTAACCTAAAAACTTAAAGTTCTTTTTGGTTTTATAATATTTTTATTTCTTTAAGATTGTCCATTGGTTTAACAAATTATTTATTTCTACAAAAATTTGACAAAAGATTCAAATAAATCAAAAAATGCTTAAAAATTATAATTTATTTTGGAGAACATTTCCTTACATTTATCCCAATTGTCAGGTAGTGTCTATTACTACGGGTAGAGGTCAAATAAAATTGTAGAAATGCGGGGAGCGGAAATGTTCATTAGGGCAGCAGAGAGACAGGGCGATAAAATTCTTGGCAACCCTTAGCTATCAAAACTTCGCCACACAACGTTTCTTTTTTGGCAATCTGTTTTCGTGACAGTTGGAGTGCCCGAAATATTATCATTTTTAATTAAAAGAGTACCCCAGTGTAGGGTTCGGAGAATTCCGAACCGATTCCTGATAGGCTGATAACAAATTTGCTACTCGCCAATGCCGCGAGCGGTTATTTCCGTGTTTGGCTTGAGGCGAGCTAGAAGTATCCATCACCTAATAAGGCTCGGTTATATTTCTAACGCAGTCTTCTACCAATAATTTATTACAATTATGGCCTTTTACAGAAAAAAACAATATGAGTGAGAAATGCTTTCGTTGAAGTCAAAATGCTGCAAAATTTCCTTGTGTTTTTGAACTAAGAAAATAATGATTATTGACCGTTAATTGAAAATAAATAAGTTATGGTTTTTATACTAGCCCACACTGCGGATACGTTTTTTGTTATATATATATATATATGCATAAAACTGTCTGTTTGAAACGAATTAATTTGTTTAGTTTACGATTATGCAAAATATTAAAGGAATTCAAAATGGTGAATAGAAAATATGTTATAGAAAAAATAAAATTACCAAATAATTGAAAACTATATTAAAGGTGTTAAGATGATTAAAATGTTCTACTTACGATTATGAAATGGCTTGTAAAACAGCCAAACTTAGAAAAAAGTGTTTAGTATTGTTCTATACTGTTCTGTACAGTTCTCCAAAGAGCCAATTTTTAACAACAGATAAATCAAGTGGTCGTAAAAACTGGGAACTTTTCCTCTGATAATTTTGTACTTTTCCATTCAACTTCTTTATTGATGTTATCCCATTTTCAGTTGTTGTTATGTTATTGGCTGATATCAGTTTTTGAACACATGAATGGGTTCTGTAGGTTACTTCAGTTTTACTTTTTTATTGACCTCTAAACTTAGAAATTTTGTTTTTAAGCATGACATCACGGGCCTATTATGTCGAGGGAGCTATCAAACCCTGTATCGTAAGGGCTTGTGTTTTACTCCAATCGGTTCAAGGAAATCTTAGCCAAGAAGGAATCTGGTAATTCAATCGTTATTACGACTGATATCAGTATCTGGTACACTTATATTTATTGTGGCGGCGACAAAAACCGTAGTATCTAATTAAAACTGATTGCGTATTTCGCTCACGAGACCGAAATGGAGTATTGCCATTTATCATCATATAAAATTGATTTCTTTGCTAGCGTTGTTTCATTTTTACTGTGGAGGTTTTTATAACTAAGCTGAATATAAATAAACGACATTATTACAAAATATATGCTTGTCATTCTAAATTACAAATGGATATACTTTATTGTTTTTCAAAATCAATAAACCATCCGGTACCATTGTGTGACAAATTTTTTTTCATAGATCAACAGGTAATCTCAAAGCGTTTATTTTTATTTACTATTTTTTTTTAAGCTTAAATAAATTTTGTTGTTTTCAGCTAGTATTTGATAGACATTTGAGTAATAGTGTTGATTTATATAAGCTGTGGGTGTTCCTTTTAATGCTACTGGACCCATATGAAGAATCAGCAACATTTTCAGTTTAGGCAACATTATTAATTATTGCTAAGCCTAAAATTAAGGTGTTTTAACTGCTTTGTTAATGGGTAATAACTGGCTTTTCTTAGATGTTCTCTTTAAGATCTCTAATCCAAGATGGTATGATCTTAAAAAAATCAATTAAACGCAGTAGTAAGTGAAACGCAATCGCGAAACTTTATGTATTTTATATATATAATAAGTTTGAAGAAAAACGATTTGTTAATATTTTACACGACATCATCGACGGCATTTTGACTTAATTCAAAATTCTCAAAAAATTTTTTATGTCAGATTCCTGAATTCAAATTAGGAATCTTGTCAAAATCCGTCTGTAGATTAAATTGTTCTCCAGAACACTATAGTCAAATTCTCGGACTTGCAAAAGGACTACTGTCCCAAAGATCTCTCAGATCCATTTGGCTCAAAGTAACCCGAATAATAGACTCCGGATCGATTTAAGTCTCTATTAAGGTGCGAGCGTGCTCAGCACTCAAACCACGCTTCATGAGCATTGCAAAAATGCTTATAGCCAGAATAAGCTGGGAAAGTGAAACGCTTGACCGGTGAAGTTCCACAAATTGAAGACCCCAAATGTCCCGAAAGTCTCTAAGATGTAGAAGTGGATTTGAGCTGGTCACGAATATGCGATGGGTTAGCCCTTGTACGTAGGTCTCTATCACAGCGAAAGCCACATAAACATTTTGGAGATATAAGAGCCAGTTCCGTACACCTTATATATGGATGACATCCACAATTCGCATTTCTCGGCTACCAGAGACTATTACCAATAAGGACGTTCCGGGAAAGGATTTACAAAGTCAACATTGCTTGAAAAGTCGTTGCTTATATATATTTTCCCTCAAAAACTTGCGATTCGTAAGAGTTACTAGAATTGCATGTCAAATACCAAATCTCTAGCTTTTATAGTTCTCGAGATCTCGACGTTCATACGGACGGACAGACAGACAGACAGGCATGGCTAATTTATCCTGATCAAGAATATATATACTTTATATGGTCGGAAACGCTTTCTTCAACCTGTTACATACCTTTCAAAAAAATTAAATTTTTTAATCAGGCTTGGTCATAGTATTAAAGAGTTCGTTTAATATTTTAATTATATCTGTAGTTAGGATCGTATCGTGTCCCTTTCTTTTGCACTAAATCTGCTGGGCAATCAGATCGTAAAACACAGGCATCAATCCTTTCATAAACTATATATCCTGGCTTACAGTTGCAAGGACCTCCGCAAACGTAAGAGCAGAATCCCATACCAGCAAATTCGCATGATTCAGGACATAGTGTAGGACATATTGCCTGGGTTTCATTTACGGAGCACTGTTCCTCTGATTTTTGGCAATCGATGGGAGTAAAAAGGAGTAGAAGACCCAGCAGAACACCGATCACCAAGCTCCACATATTCGTCATTTCGATTTCGGTAGCAGAATAATAGAATTTCCTATTTTGAACAGTCTGTTAAATTATTTGTGTAACGAGCAGACTTTTTGTTGTAGAAATAAAACAATTAAATAAAATATAAGTATGTTCGTGGCATATATTCGAAGTTTGTTTTATTATTTAGCTAATTAAGGCTTGTGTATACTATTAAAGCGGTCGTTTAATAGTTTATTTTTATCTGGAGTTGGGCCGTGTCGTGTTCCTTTCTTTTGCACTAAGCCTGCTGGACAATCAGATCGTAGAATACAGGCATTAATTTTTTCATAAACTATATATCCTGGTTTACACTTGCAGGGACCTCCGCAACCCAGAAAACATAGTCCGTTACCATCATATTCGCATGATTCAGGACACATCCCAGGACAGTACACCTCGGTTTCATTTACGGAGCACAGTCTCTTTGATTTTTGGCAGTCGATGGGAGTAAAAAGGAGTAGAAGACCCAGCAGAACACCGATCGCCAAGCTCCACACATTCGTCATTTCGAATTCGGTAGCAGAATAATAGATTTTCCTAATTTGTACGCTCTTTTTATTCGTTTCCGTGAAATAAATGTAGGTATGTTAACAAATTAGATTAGTTTTCCTCATTTTGTACAGTCTATTAAATAATTTGTATAACGAACAGACTTTCTGTTGTAAAAATACGGAACAGTCAACCTTTGACCTTCGCAGGAGTAGAAGACCAAGCAGAACACCGATCGCCAAGCTTCACATATTCGTCATTTCGAATTCGGTAGCAAAATAATAGATTTTCCAAATTTGTAAAGTCTGTTAAATAATTTGTATAACGAACAGACTTTTTGTTGTCAAAAGTAAAACACTCTTTGGATTGCCGAAGTTTGCTACGATGATGTGTTTAGAATTTCAGAATATAAAGTTATTTTATTTATATGGGGAACAAATTCCAGTGATTCGAATGTATTTTTGTCTGTTTACCTGTGCTATCAGTAGGTTATTGTATTGTTTCCAAGTCAAATCGATTCAGAGAAACCCAATGCAAGAGTTGAACTGTTGACTTTATATTTAAATGGAGCCGATAGCAGCTTTTCATGTACTTATGTTTTTGGAAAACGCACAAAGTGACTAATTAAAACTGATTACGTTTAAGGCTCACGAGACCGAATTGGTGGTAGTGCCATCATTCACTGTCGTAGCTTGATCCGATATCTGGCAGGCGGGATAAGATATAGCCTGGGTGGTGCAGCGCTGGGTGACCTCGTCGAAGTACTCCTCCTGGGGACAGGTTCCTTGGCCAATGGCGACGCCATTTTGGCAGATTGCGTATCCCCGACAGCCGTCATCCGACTCGTTGGCCAGCTGAATGTTTGAGTTGCCCAGTCCCACGCACCGATCGAAGGCACATTTCACCTTGGAACGGGGCACACAAGCGCCACCATCGGTGTCCAGGAAAAATCTGCCATCGGAGCATTCGCCATGCTCCAAGGAAAACTCTCCATCGCCCATTTCCTTGCAGTAGAAGTAGCCATTGCAGGTCCGGTTGTCGGAAATAAATCCTCCCGTTTCCGGACACACTCCCTTTTCGATGATATCCGGCACTGGGGTGAAATCGCACTCCACATCCTGCGGATAATCGCACGCGGCCGTGGCGGCGTTGAAGTAGAAAGTGCCCGGGCAGGTGGCATTCAGCACCTGGCCACCCCAGCACATCTGATAGCCATTGCAGTTGTCCGTGTCCTTGACGAAAACACCATCCGGCAGTATGTTACAGTAGCTGTCCGGGTCCATCTTATCCGAGCACCGAAAATCCCGTATGCAGTCTTGCGTTCCCGTATTGAAGTTCATTCCCGTAGGGCACTTACCGAGATTTCCTTTGCCATTTATGCAGTAATAGTACCCATTGCAGGAGTACGGGTCGGCAGCAAATCCGTTGGCCAGAGCTGCGCAAGGATCGCTGGACAGGCACTTTACACTGCCCGAACTCAGGCACTGCTTACTTTCCCTGTCGTAGAAAAGTCCAGTTCCACAGGTTCCACCAACTGGCTGCCCATCGATGCACTGAATCCACGCATTGCAGGCCCGCGGATCGTTCATCTTGGTTCCATTGACCACCAGTTCGCATATCAAAGTCGGATTGAAGCTGGCGGCTCCAGAAATCAGGGGGACCATAAACAGACCAAAAAATAGGACAATTCTTGTACCTGTTTGCGAAAAAAACATAGGAAATTATAATAAAATAATATATAATAATATTAATATTTATCAAATTAAATTTATGTGTTAATAAGAAAGTTTTATAAAGCAAACAAGCGACTACTCCTATATCTAAACCAGCAATTAAAACAACATAAAAAAAAAACTTTTTACAAGCTTCAAGCTACTTGCTATTAAAATAATAATCGATGGCCATTAACAAACTACTTTCCCTACTTTCATAAATAAATTAAAGCTTGTAACTATAAATACTTACTCATCTTGGGTTTTCAACAGCGAACTATTAATAGCTAGTTTTATTCGAATAATGCAAATAGCCTTTGACGGCAACTGGCGAAAAGAACGTCTAACTGGGACCCTTCCAACTTGGCCATTAAATATACATTGCCAAGACAACGCTTACCTCAGTTTGTTTTGGGCCATTCCGAAAGGTCTATAAATTTGGGAGCATTACCTTATGGCCAAAACTGTCGTCAGTGGCTAAAATGGACGCATGGCGTATTCATATTTCAGTTTTATCAAGCTATTTTAATTCCAAATTTGACAAATGATATATACCGCTTCGCTGATCGATTAAAACCCAATTTGTTTATTTTTGGTTAAGTATTGCGTATAATGCGTTTACTTCCAGGTTTACTCAATGAAAATTCCTGCAATGCCATAATAGTTTAATTTGTAAACTGTATTTACCATTACCAACTTATTTTTAATGTTTTATTTAATTTATTACTTAAGCGTAATTGTATTCTCTTTTAGAATCGTAATCAAATATGTGTATCTTTTGTGCCCGAAGCTGATAGGGCTGATGCATACGACATTATGGTATTAATAGACCTAATGACCAATTTCTTAGGAATACTGCAGATTACGGCTATGTCAAGTGGCTTAGATTACTACTTATAAATGTAATTAATTTGATTTAGAATTTGTTCCGCTGGAAATAATATTTATAGTACATTTTTAACTATCCTTATCAAATAAGTTGCTTTTTATTTATTGTTTTTATCTAAACATATAATTGAACTTTGTCCAGTCATGCCTGTTTCGCTCTTCCGATAATAACAACCAATGCTAAGAATCGCCAGGTTGGGAAATACAGTGGGTTAGTCATTATTCTCAGAATGCTTTTAAGCAGAATACCGAATCATTAAGTAGGTGGGTTAGTGCCATAAAGCAGGTGATATACATCTAATTTAGATTACTCTAATCTCATATCGGTTTATAGGTGATTTTTCCAAAATCGAATCCCAAAACTAATACCTAAAAATGTGTCATTAAATTTGGGAACCATGTGGTTAACTTACGACTGGAAAGATTTCAACTGGCCAAAATTATCTAATCGAATTTTCTTATACATGTTTGTACTTTGGCAACACACTAAAAAGATGTTAGCTTAAGAATGTGATAATGGTTGATTTTTCAATGGAGATTAAGTTCTGAGAAATGGGTGGTTTTCGGCCAAATTTTTTTGTATTGCCATTCAATACCAATTTTGTCTTAATTAAAAAACATTCTAGATTGCTTTGCTAGATAGAAAATAAATCAGTTACTGGTTATTTGGGGATTGCTTTTATAAACGTTTTTAAATCTAGCTGTAATGTTGCAAAATTCCCAACATCTTTAAATTAATATTAATAATTTTGTTTGCTTTTGTAAAACAGAAAATTAATTTTTATAGTTTTGTTAATTTTTTGTACATTAATGTGGCGTAAATATTAAAGCAATTGGCATTAAAAACCGATTTTGTAAAGTAAAATGCATGCTAAATTTAAAGTTTTGAATTAAAATGCATTAAATCTATATGCTTAGTAAGTCTATGGTCAATAAAGCAAATTATAAAGTAGTATTTGATTATTGCAAATTCTATGGAATTTCTTATCCAATATTTTGTTGACCTGTCAAAAGGGCCATCGATCATGCAAAAATAGAGATTGTTTCACTGGCTGTCTGGGCCGATACATCACAAAGTCAATTCCCTGGATTGAAGGGTCGTCGATCAAGTTGAACACCGAAGCGGATCGAAGATAAAACCCGGCCGGATTCCAAATAAAAACCCTGGGAGGCCAGTGCCCAAGAACAGTATACCACCGAGAGCCACCAAAATAAAGAGCTAACAAATGGGTAAGTTTTGTATGCCTATTTAAATGAATGAGAAAGTTAACATTTAATTTAATTTAAAGGTGGACAGAAAGGATTTATCATTGCTGCCGTGGCGTTGCTGATCGGCTGTGCCGCTCCAGCTTCAGCCGATGTGAATGTGACCGCCTTGTGCCTGCTGGTCAGCAGTGGCAACTACGTGGGCAGCCAGTCGGACTGCTCCACCTACTACCAGTGCCAGGGATCGCAGGTGACGACCCTGACCTGTCCCACCGGCTACTACTTCGATAAGAATGCCCAGCAGTGCACGACCAGCGTTCCGAGCACCTGCGTCAGCAGCACTCATCCCTGCCTGGGCAAGGCGGTGGGCTCCTTTGCGGGCACCAGCACCTCCTGCGGCGGCTACTACTACTGCGGATCCTCGGGCGCCATCCGTGGCAATTGCCCGACCGGCGAGAACTTCAATCCCACAACCCAGGCCTGCGTGTATGCCAACAGCTATCCCTGCCAATCCGCCAGCGACAGTGATGGCAGCTTGACTGTTACCCCCAACCTGTGCAATCTCGTCAAGAATAACATCTACTTCGGCAGTGCCTCCAACTGCAGTGGCTGGAACTTCTGCGAGAACAACGTGATGCGGTCGGGTACCTGCGCCCCGGGCCTCGTATTCAATGTGAGGGCCAGCAACTGCGGCTATCAGACGACCTCCTCCTGCTCCCAGGTGACCAACGATCCCTCCCTGACGGGACTGAGTTCGCCCACCACCTGCACCTCGGAGGGATCGACCATTGCGGCCAAGGCCTGCAACCAGTACTACATGTGCTCGGCCAGTCTTAGCTACCAGCTAATGACCTGCCCCGCGGGCTACTTCTATGACACCATCTCGAAGGGCTGTGTGACCAGGATGCAGGCCAGGAACAACTGCGACAGGTGTGTGGGCACCACGGCCAGCTTCGTGAATGCCTACTCGGCCAGCAACTGCTCCGACTATCTGTACTGCGTGAATGGTGTCCAGAAGGCCGTCGAGAGCTGCCCCACCAACTTCTACTTTAACGAGAACTCCGGATCCTGTGTGGGTGGTGTGGAGCCGCAGTTCCAGTGCTGCAATCCCACCGGAAGCACCGGCATTGCGAGCACCTCGGCTCCAACCACTTCGGGTTCTTCCTCTGGATCTTCTTCCTCTGGATCTTCTTCTTCCGACACTTCGTCTGGATCTTCATCCTCCGGAAGTTCTACGGACACTTCTTCCGGGACATCCACTGGAACTTCTACGGGCACTTCTACGGGAACTTCTACAGACACTTCTTCGGGAAGCTCCACTGGAACTTCTACGGATACTGCTTCGGGTACTGGAACCTCCACGGGAACCACAAAATAATCTATTCAAATCTTCAGCATTTTTTGAAAACACTAAATATATAACTGCATACAAATAAATATACTATTCAAAGTTCCTTGATTTGTAAATAGTCAATTAAACGATTGTACTTCGTTCTATAGGATAGATTTGTAGAGTATGTAAACAAATTAATTTACTTAATGGGACCATAATTTTACCCCTTCCCAACAGAGCTTGGTATCAGTTTCATTCATAATCTAAGTGGCATTGTTTAAGTTGATGACGTGATTTGCCCTGCAATCAGTGAAATAATAATAAGACTTTTAATGATTACGCCCCCTGATAAAAAGACATCGGATTTATATGCGAAACAGTATTCCGAACAATTGATTCAGTGCACACAACATCAACATTTTATATGTTAGTCCAATTATAGAATATAAAAATGATTTATGCTAAGATTTTATAGGAATAGTTTTGTTTAATAAAGTTCGTTTTGCATAAATTGAGTAAAACAATAAAACAAGACTTAACAATCCTTTTAAATCCAAGTTGTTAGCACTTGTTTTTTACTGTTTTTTGAAAATTTCCAATCAATATAAATGACACTTCAATTATATGGTAATAAACTCAAACTACGGATTTTTATGTTGTCGAAAAATGTTGATTGGCTGGCAACCACGTCATCAGAGGTAGATAAAAAGTTTATTGAAACTCGAGCAATAATAACCATAAGTGCTTAGTTTATTTGGTGTCGTTAAAAAATTATTTATGTGACAGTTAAAGTTTTATTCAAATTTTTAATATTTTATTTAAAATACACATGTTTTATTATTACATCATTGTAATCTTATAAAAACAAGCCTCCGTCTTAAATATAAGATTACAACACTAAGGTTTAGAACACGATCCGATAGTTTTCAAGGGAAACCGTAAGATTAAACCATCGATAAAGATGTAGCTGCGTCAATAGCTTCCTTTTTTTAATTATTAAGTTGCGGAACAGATAGAAATACGGAATGATAGTGACTAGCTTGCGGTTACTACAACTTAATTTTAATTAAAATTGGTAAAAGAACAACCGAACAAGATGTTCGGCGCGCGTCGGACAGAACAAATAAAAAAATTGAATCATGTACCTATGTCTATAATTCCCGCGAACCGAGGGCTTATCTGCGGGCGGCAATTTACGATCAAGATGGCCAAGTTCGAGGCGTAGACCTATAAAAACCAGGCGATGGGAAAACTCCACCATCAGTCTTCGACTACCTTTCATTGGCCAATACAAGTGGAATTCGTGTTTCCCGACGACAGCCAAAAAGAGTATTACCAACCAACCAACGATGACAGGCAAGTGTGGCACTTATTTCCAGGGACCTTTTTGGGTAATTGAGGAGTATGCTTTGCAGCCAAGCTTTTACTGGCCACGATCCTGTGCCTCATGGGCGGCAGCGCCTTGGCAGCGGACGCAATTCTGGAGGGCAACTACAATGTGACGGCCGTCTGTACGGCGGTGAAGACCGGAACCCAGCTGGGCAGCATCGAGTCCTGCCAGAACTACTATGTCTGCAGCTCCAGCGGACCGGTGAAGAACTCCTGCCAAGCCGGTTACTCCTACGCCTACGCCAAGAGCGGCTGCTACCCCTCGAGCCAGGTGGATTGCTACTGGGGCGTGTCCGAGCCCTGCTCCGGAAAGAATGGCACCTGGGTGCCCAACACGGCCGTCTGCGGTGGATACTTCTATTGCGACGAGGGCAAGAGCTCGGCGCCCAAGAGGTGCGCCAACGGTCAGGTATTTGACGCCAGCACCAAGGGCTGCGTCTGGGGATCCTGCAACGATAACCTCGTGGAAACCGAGGGAACCACCCTCAACAGCATCTGCGATGTGGTGCCCCCTGGCATCTGGTTCGGCGACACCCAAGCCTGCGACATCTGGTACAACTGCCAGTCCACTGCAACCGGCATTAAACAGACAAGCGGAACATGTCCGACCGCAACCCCTGTAAGTTACACTTTCCATATGAATTTAATAGAATTTCAAAACATTTTTTCTACTTCAAAATAATTTAAATACCTTTAAAATAATTTTATTTCCAATTCAAGTAACCACAAAAAAAAAAGTCTATAAATTCTTTGATCTCAATTGCTATTAAAAACCATTTTAAACTATTTTCTTAAGATTTACGGATTAGCAAATTATAGCAATTGGTTAGAACTTGCCTTTTAATGACAAAATCATTCAACAGTGATCTCGTAACTTAAATTTATTAGTTTATTATTTTAAAGATATATACAAACTCAAAAACATAGACTGATTATAAAAAAGCAAATAATTGTTTTCGCAATGGTCAAATTTTAAAATATATTTTATATAGCAAATATTTAAGAAATGTATTCAATAGAATAGAGGAATTCTAGTTTAATAGTTGGTTCTAATAATTTTCTTGACCTAATGATCTTTTTAAAAAACAATACTTCATTTAAAGGTGATTCATTATTATTATCATTGAAGGGAAAGTTTGATCTGTAGAAAGTATTGTAAAATTATTGTATGCTATTTGATGGTCTCTTTTTTCTCTATTACTAATGGTATTCATTTTATTAGGACTTCAACCCTCAAGCCCAAATGTGCGGTTATCCATCCGCCACCGTGTGCAACCGTGTGACCGGAATACCGATTAGCGATGCCGGAGTTTCCTGCGCCACCAACGGCGAAACGAAGCCCGATGTCACCGTTTGTGGCCAGTACTTGCAGTGTGTGAATAAGCAGTGGACCAAGGTGGCCTGTGCCTTTGGCTACTACTGGGATGTGGAGTCCAGTGGCTGCAAGCTCCGTGAGGCGGCCACTCCAGTGGATACCTGCAACCGTTGCCAGTACGCCAAACAGTCGTTTGTGAACGACGTCGATTCGGACAACTGCAGGAACTACCTTTACTGCCCCTCCAGTGGCCAGCCCACAGAGCTCACCTGCCCCGAAGAGCACTTCTTCAACGAGGACATCCAGGGATGTGCGCCCGACTCCGGCCTGGACACCTATGTGGCCACACACGGAGCCTGCTATGGAGCCACTGCGGGCGGCTCGTCCACCGATTCCGACGACAGCAACACGACGGCCTAGCCACAAATTGGGGGGCAACTAAAATGGAACTCACCACAGGACCATCTGAAAACAAGATTCTATGTATTTACCATTTAGTATTCAGCTTATATAAAAGGCAATAAAATTACGATCGCAAGCAAATGATTATTTTATCTCGATGGCAGTAAAACGTAATGAATATCTACAATTTGGCAGAGCAGCTCAAGTCCATCAACTCACAAAAATGTGCTATTTAAAAGGCTGAGATCCTAGCTTTTAACAAATCAAGAACTCATTGAATCCTGGATTATTGATTGTAAATAAATAATATTTTTGTTTTCCCATGATAGACATAGATCTTTGTTCCCCCATTAAGAATTTTCGACACCTAAAAGTGATTTGTAAACTTCCCTCTGCTGACAAATTCTTTTAGCTTTAAAATCTTTTGGCATGCTTGATTTGTTGCCAATAACGTTGATTGCGTTTCAAATAAATTTAAGGTTTACATTTAGACTACCAAGATCTATGTGGTAATTATAGAAGTGAGCATATCACGAATATTTTTATAGAATGTTATCTAAAAACGCAAACATTGCGATCTCGAAGAGACCGCAACGCAGATTGCAAACACAAGTTTTCGATTAGCTTTGACAATTGGCACACCCACTTTGTCGACCTTATAAAAGGGTCGGTCCTGAGACGTCCGAACCATTAACATTGGTATTTTGGAACCGCAAAGAACCAGCATCAGAAATCAAGTGGAATTAAAAACTACAATGCAATGCTCCTGGGCATTTGTCTTGGCACTCAGCATCTGCTTCCAGTTGGGAGCAAGTCACGCCGTGGACCGAAGTTGGGAACTGCCCAAGGCTCGTGCTCCCATAGGTGACCTAACCCAAGTGAGTATGATCAAAAGATAAAACATCTTCATATAAGAAAAATTGCTTTTAAAGAACTTAACAACTCTTAATGTTTTGAGTATTATTTGATAATGAACCCTAGGAATATAAAAAAACACTGGATTTGCTAAAATATTGATTATTATAAGTAAATATTTTTCTGGTAAAAAACAAATTGAGTTAAAAAAAGGCTTCTAAGCCCATAGCTGTTTTTTTTATTTTGGTTTTCTTTTTTACTTCTAGAATTATAAACTTATTCGACATATAGCCTTGTGTAACATTTTGTATAAATAATTTATAAATTAATAACATTTTCATCAAAAACCATTGCTAATAGACTATTAAGTTGCGATTAGTCTTTTGAACCCCTCATAAAGGCAATGTTATAAACTTCTGATTTCAGATCTGTGTGGGTCACCAAGAGGGAGATTTGGTGCCCCATCCCAAGGACTGCAATGGATACTTCTCGTGCTCGCACATTCCAACGCTTATGTACTGCGATCAGGGGCTCCAGTTCAATGAAAACCGAGGGATCTGCGATCTGCCGCAGAACACCAACTGTCAAGATGATTTGCTCGTATCCAATTCGGAATCCCAAGGTAATCCAGTAGATAACTCCGAGATTTATTGGTGGTCACACAAGCCACGTCCGGTCTTTGTGGCCGTTGATGTGACCAATGGTCAGCCAGTGAATCCCATGGAGAAGTACGATCCGGAGCATATCGAGTGTCGCCATTATGGTGCCTACTTCCTGCCGCATCCCAGAAATTGTGGCTTGTACTTCATCTGTGCCTACGGACATCTGCACCGTCATCAGTGTGGGCGTGGCACCTCCTGGAATTTCAAGATGTCCGAGTGCCAGTTGAACGATCAGGCCGTTTGCTACGGGGAATCCGTAATATCAACACCCACCACGAATGTGGAAGTAGTCGTGGGTGACACCACTCCGAGTAGTGGAGCTCCAGTGACGGTTTGCTATGTAGTGGGATCAAGTGAGTACAGTACGCTGCAGCAATTCTTAACGGATCCCGTGACCACACAATTGGCTCCTGTCCCAACCGCACCCACTCCTCCGCGAGCTGAGATTACCACTCTGACTTGTCCGTCCACCAAGCAAAGCTACATGTCCCATCCGGAAGATTGCAGTAAGTACTACATCTGCATCGGTGGGATGCCGGTGGTCACCTCGTGCCCCAAGGGCCTCTTCTGGGACCAGAAGTCCGGCTATTGCGAAATGGAAAAGAGCGTCAAGTGCTTCCAAAAATAAATAATAAACGTGGAGATGCACAGTCAAAAACTATATCATTTAGTTATTTATTTAAAGGGGAAGGCATTTTCTGTGTTGAACAAATATATACTAATCTCTTTTAACAATGTGTGCTTCCAAAATTGTTTTCACTTTATTATTCCAAGCTAATACTCTATTAAAACAGTAGTATGGGCAAACAAAATAGAAAAACTTATAGAACTGTGGCCATCGTAAGCCTTTGCCAAAAAACGGCTCTCCTTTCAGCAGTTTCCTTGCTTTCCTTCTCTATTTTGTCCGTTTTCCAGGGATAGTTCTTCACACCGCTCACAATGCGTTCCCAAAATGTTAGTTTACTTGGCTCGAATGATCCGACATCTTTGGTTATTTCCTCACCATAGTTTGTCCCAATATTGCAAACCAATAGAAGAAAAAATATCGAAAAGACTGCAAAATTTAACCCGTTGGCTGCAAGCATTTTGAGGCAGCGATGATCTCAATCTGATCTTGCTGGAAGTTATCTTCTGGTTGCATGTCGAAATACTAAATCTTATCAATAGAAAATATTTACAGATGAGACAAATTGTTTTACAATGGTTAATGGATAAGATAGCAAGAGCCATTAGTTTTATAAAATTTTTTCTCAGCCCAAAAGTGAGCTACAAGAATTAGCGATTATTGAATAGAAAAGCTTTGTTTATGTAAAAAAGTGTATAATTGCAAATTGACATTAAATTATTATTAGCATTTGTAAATAAAAAATTAAGAAAATTTAATTTACCATCTAACTTATAAAAAATAATCCACAAAGTAAGTTGGGGTTATTGAAAACTTCTGGTCAAATTATATATGTTTATGCACTATATTGCAGAGTTACGAATACTTTGAATTAGTAAAGTTCTACATTTCCTAAAATTTTCAAATGTTTAAATTTTTCCCATGCAAATTATTAAATATATTATTTATTTCAAGTTAAGTTTTCTTACTCCTAAAATACTTGTTACATTATATGACTCATGTTAAAACTTTTTACTTTTTTACATTCTTGGCAGATATTCTTTAAAGAGATTTCAATCAAACAATAAGAGATAATCGTATATTACCAAACAAGAATCGTATTTACGAGTATAATTTAGCATAGGGTAGGTCAAGGAAAAGAGATTGTCGTATAGCTTTTCGGGCTGAATTTTATTTTAAAATTTATAAATGATGTCATTCATTTGGCAAACGAACTTTAAAAGATTGTCCCTGATCTCGGCGCACATTGATCCGTTCATTCATAAATTATCAAAAAAGTATGTTGCTTGATTATGTTGCGAATATGTACATATGTGCATAACAGTGTGTATGATGTGTTTGCCTAATTTAAATTTAACTTCTAAGGTGGTCGGGCTCAATTAGGGCTGGTTCTCTGCTCACAGCTAATCGCTATGCCGTCCAGTAATTAATTCAGCCGTCTTTGCTGGCCAAACTCGTTGGTCAAACGTGGAGTCGCGTGACTCATGATGCCTCGCAAAATGGCAAACTGAAAAATTTGTTTTGGGGTTGTCGGCAACGTATGTAAATACAAGTATCACAAGGAAAGTTTCAAGCCAATGAAAATATGTATACCTTTGTGTCTGTGTATCACTTGTCTTCCACTTTGTTTTACATTCCTAAAACAAACAAACGTTTTTTTTTTTTTAATTGTGCTAATTAGCTCATTGGATAAATTGAGATCGATGCCCTTTTATTATTTAATTTGTATTGAATTAAATGTACATATGTACATAATAGCAATCAGTCACTGATTAATGGATTTATAATAAAATTGCTGATTAATGGGAAGGTCAGATTTTTCCTATATGGACATTTAAACCTTGAACTTTGTCGCATCGCAGATATGCTGGTGTGACCCATATTATCTTTAAACCGGAAGATACCATTTTTGACTTCAAAACACATACAAATATATAACTCTGCTTAAATTTAAAAAAAAATCAACAGGCTTATTTTTTGACCTCTTCCAAGAATTTGTTACTCTTATTAAGTTTAAGAACTCCCACTTGAGAGAGGTGTTAAAAAGTTTCACATTGTACTCGAAATTAAATGATTCCACTTATGTGACACAGTAAAAGTTAAATTTTTTGCTTCCAAGCTAACGGCGCAAATTCAAATTGAAATTCAAGTTCAAATCCGCTTCTGCTTTGTCACACCCTTCCTGCTACCAAGCGAACACAGACGCGGTCAACAAATTGTAAAATAAATTGTATATATTTTTTTTTTGTAACATTTGTTGTAACTGGTTCTCCGAACCAAAAAAATTACTCTAAAACGCCCATGTTACTGATGTGTGCTCCAATTTATTTTTCAATTTATCTTATTCTAATGTACATTTTGTTATTTATTTAATTTTGAATATAAAAAACATCTTGATCCATAATTCTGATATAAACTTAATGGCCTCAAAAGAATCGTAATTATGTTATCGCAAAAATAACCTATTTATCATATTGATTTTGTTTTGATATGACATAAAAAGGAACATTACATTTTTAAAGAAAGAAAGAAGGTTATGTTTGTACATATGCCCTGGGCACCTCAATCTTACCTCGTTAAAATTAAAACAAATAATTTAAGGACACCATTATCCGATACCCTGCAGCAAACAGCTGATGTTGCGCCGCCGCATCATGCAGCACAGGCACACACAAACAAAAAACCAAAAGAGAGCGGCAGAGAGTGACGCTTTTTCTCTCTCTCCTCACACAGTGGGGCGTCTACAGCAAAAGTCCAGCAAAAAAATATATATATATTTTAGTTTTTGATATAACAAATTTTTTAAATGCATATAAAAGAAGAAGGATTTGTGCACCTTAACCCAAAAGAAAATGATCTGGGAAACATTATTTAAAAGTTTTTCTATAAAATTATATTATATGTACGGATTTAAAGTAAACCATTTTAAAACTCTAAAACGTTTTTACACAAAAAGAACTGAAATAATGTATGTTTACCATATTTTTTATTGTAATGGGTTTATCAGGTCAGGATTTAAAAAGATTTTAAAAAATTAGTGCCATATTATACATAAAGTCCAAAAACAATTAGTCTTTTCTAAGAAAATCATATTTTAGTTAATAATAAAAATTTCACAATTCCCAACTCAGCCTTGTTTTATTCGCGCGCATTTTAATCTGTGTAAAATGCGGCGATTAGTCTTCTTCGCCCACTGTGCGGCGCTCATAATCGGCTCTCGCATTTTCGCTTTGGCGATCAGTTAAAATTGAGTTGAAAGCTAGTCAAGTCACCCGCGCGGAGTTCTTTTTGTCGCGTCGTTCCGCAAATAGTTTTATTTTGGTTTTTACTTAATTTAATTTCGTTCCGTTTGACTTTTCGCGATTGGAGTGACGTTGCCGTTTTAAAGAAGTGCGCACATATGGAAATCGTAAGCACATAATTGTTGTTATTGTTGTTGGCCAGAGACACGCGTCGCTTTTCCGCGTGTTTCTTTTATTTTTGTGGATTGGATCGGCAGCCACCTGAAAGGCGCCATTTGAAAACACAACAGCTGTGCCGCGAAAAATATAAATATATGTATATGTATGTATGCCGAAGTGCAAAAATAATAGAAATTAAATAAAAACCGGAGAAACGTGCAAAAAAGCCGTGAGAGCGGTGCGTGCCTGTGTGAGTCTCGCCCGCGCTCTCTTTCCTACTTATTGCGCAAGCAAAAGAGAGCGCTTTAAATACAAAAATTAACCGAATGTGTGAGTGTGTGTGTGCGTACCTGAAAATATATTAAATATTTGATTATTTGCCTTTGTGTTAGAAACAAAACAACAACAAAGGTCTTTGCTGAATAAGTAGAACTTAGAGTGCACTTTCTTTGTGACCAAAAGATCGCTCCAAACTTCAAAAATCGAGCAAGGCTATATATCTGTATATGTCTACGATTTGAAAGCGCAAGCGTCGCGTCGCCATGCGAATGTTAATATATAACACAAACCCCTAAAAATCGACAGCAGCTGAAAAGTCATCACAACATTATCGCACAAATAAGTATAATAAGAACCGATCCAACAATAGCAAATAAATCAGCGAACGGAAACTAAGGCAGGCAAGTTCATCAAAAATATGCATATGTACATATAATGAAACGACAAGCGAACTTCGCTCACGAAACTCACTTAACTTTGCTGATAAGATGGGTAAAAAATACTCAAATTGTCAACTCTTTTCGGACTCCCCTCTCGCTCTGGCACAGTATCAGCTAAACAATGCCCCAAAATATCCGATCTTGTATACCCTGCAGTACGCTCAATAAATTTAAACTCAATAGTATGAATTGGTGAATTAATACAGTGCTAACTCAATCTAATTTTTTGTAAGGTAATCACTTCTGGAGGGGTTTGCTCTTAATTTGTATATGTATATGTGATAGCTTTGTATGTACTTATTGAAAGATTACAACAAAAAATACTTAGAGTATAAGGCATTTACAATGATTACTATAAATAAAATAATAAAAAAGTTTTCTGCAAAAAGGATGTTAAAAACGTCATCCAGATTCCCAGAATTTTATATTTTTCTAATTTTTCGAAAATTGTTCCATTTTTGTCGCGTTTTTGTTTAATTCAAAGAACTTGCTTGATAAATTTGCTAGTTGTTTTTTTACCATTAGTATAGATGTTTCGGAGGCATCCAAAAACTATTTTTAATGTAAAAGTTATCAGGATGTCGTGTCAGTAGCATTTTGTACCTGGAAAAGATGGATTATTATAATGCAGAACACAAAATCTTATTAAAAGAAATTTTTAAATGATTGTTCATAGCTTCCAAAATAAAGTATAGATGTAAAGCTTTTTACTTGCAAGCTTGAATGGCAGTTATGGGAATTTTTGGTGATGATTTTTTTGCCCATTATCTCGGCTTTTTTAGAATACTTGAGCTCAGAAACACACTTGATTATTAGTCGAGCGCGGCAAATCGGACGGAGAATATCCGGTGCACATAAAAAAAAAAGTTTTGATTAGTTTTTATCAAAACTGTTTGAACACAAAATAAAATAATCCTATTATTTATTTTTCCAAAAAGTTCCTAATCTATTACGCTCCTTTTTTATTTATATTTTCATAAAAAAGGTGCGAATTCGTGTTGAGGTGTAACCATTCTCAAATATTTTTAACTAACAACACTCCCTTTGTTGTACTCATCAATTTGGAGCGTAGCCAGAAATAAATAATTTTAAAAACAGTTGGTAGCTCAATCGGTCTGTTAATGAGTCCTAACTCAAAGTGAAATATTCAATTTAAATATTATTTAATACATTTTAATACTGTTTGATTAGTAAGCCGGGATATAATTTTAAAACTGTGTCAAACTAACCAGATATCGAGTTAATCTATTTTAAATTTCAAATGTGTCTCATATTAAAAAAAACTTGTGAGCTCTTAAGTTATATTTCACAATGTCTGTGCGCAGTTTTTTGGTAAGGCCATTATTTCTTTATTGTAATTAAAGGTATATTTAAAAAAAAA